CCCTACACCTAAACCTACCCCTTACAGGAAATTTTGTGCACTTTTAGATTTTCAAAAAAACTTCATTCTGTGTGATTTATTAGCTTGTTTACCTGTGGGGACCTCAATTTAGGTCCCCACCGTGACATGAGTCCCCATGAGTCTGTATGTATTCAGGTTTAAGTCCCCACCAGAATAGAAAAACTGGTACACACACACAGACTGTGTGTGTGTGTGTGTGTGCCTATATTTTGAGGACAAATTTGGACTCCTAAAACGTAATCTCCAAAAACCTCCTTTTGGGGACATCCTTATTTTTTTTTTAAAGTATACAAATAACTAATTTAAAGAAAGTTCTCTGTTTGGGTTTGCAGTAACAAAGAGCAAGGGCTTATTTTGGAAACTGTCTTCCTATCGACTGACATCTGATTGCATTTTCAGTGTTCACGCTTTGTAAACAACATATGCTCTTTTTTTTTACTTCTTCATATTTTTGAAGGAAATCGATGATTTTTTTCCCCTCTGTACTAGAATTTTTGGAGATTTCTTGAAAACTGTATCATTTAATTAGAATATTAAAAATATGGTTTTGACAGCTAATGCTCAGTTCTAAATAGCACTGCACATCAAATTTTGTTTGCATGTTGCATTAATGTCTTTCTGATAGTCAATGAGTAATACTTGCAAGGTCTACAAGGTCAATGTCATACACACCAAGTATTGTACAGGTAGTATGCTGCTAATTCATACAAAATAGTACCGTTTTCTGTCTCTTTTATATGGGTCAAATTTGCAATTTCGTCATGCTTGTTAAGCTTCACAGAGTCACAATTCCTTGATGAAAAAAAATGGCGAAAGAAATGGCCTCTTTCATGGCGTTCATTTTTCTTTTCTAATCCTTCACTGATGCTGTTCACTTGCATGACCATGCCTTTCCTGATAACGACTGCATAACCCTTAACCTTGGCTCATGGCCATATGGTCATAAGAAATCCCTTGAGGCATTGCGGAGGATACTCATAGCGCTCTTTACCATCTAAGTGCCTGAAGGTATTGCACGCTTTAACCTTTTGACCTGATGATGTGGGAGGATTCACAAATTTTTCATAGCCCTAGAACTTTTATCTCACAGTTGCAGAAATGCTGTGTTGATGGTTTTTAATTTAAAGAATTTAACTGTTGCTCTTTTTAATGCAGTAGTCCCTAGTCGGGGTAAAGTGGCATATTTAATTTCTGACAGCAATAAAAACGAGGCTATGAGTGACTGCAGTTCCTCCGACCTCCATATGTCCATGCATTTCCTTGTTCAAAACATCAAGAAAACAGGATTCTGATGAAACTAGAGATCTTTGTCTTTTGTAATTAATGTCAAGAGATGAGGTAAGTATTATAAATTAAATATATAAATTAAAATTAGTCTAATATAGAAACATTACATGTAGAAGTTGACCTTCAGCAGAAAGCTCCACCATCTTGGGTGTGGCATGTCACTCTTGCAATATCAGTAACAAAGACGCCCCAGCAGGCCTGACTGCCAAAAAGCAAATAGTTATTTTCTGATTCTATATGTAAAAATTTAAATTCAGCTTCCATTAGGTTTGAACTTCTTTTTACATATTTGATGAGCTGTATGTGTGTTGATCAGTACTAATATGTGAATAAAAGTCTTAATTCAATCTGTTCATCATATAAAGTGATTAAATCAAGTCAAGTAAAATCACATTTATATATCACTTTATACAACAAGCTTCTTAATAACAGTGTTAATGTTGCAGAATTCATCAATTCAGTTGATGAAGCAGCTCTACAGAAAACAACAGTGTCATTATTCAGCTCAATTCAGATCAGTGTTGATTCAGATCAGTTCAATAACTTTGTAAATTTAATCTATTATAAAAATGAGTTCAGTTATTCAGCTGTAATCAGCTCTACAGAAGACAGTAGTGTCATTCAAATCAATACATTTCAATGTTGATTCAGTTTAGCTCAGTAACTGTCATGTTCATCAGTTATGAAACAAACTCAATTCAACCATAATTCAGGTCTATAGATGATGATATTGTCGTTATTCAGCTCATTTTAGTTAAATTTTTTAATTCAATTATTATAACTAATAAATAATAACTGAGTCAATGTTCCAAAGTTCATAAATTATGAAAAGCATTCCCTTCAACTGTAAGCAGAAGCCAATAGTGTCTTTATTCAGTGCAAATTATTCAGTGTCTCTTCAGAAGACTTCAGAAAACAGCTTGATTCGCATGGTTTACTTTAAAGGGGTCATGTGATGCTATTTTAAAGATCATTATTTGGTGTATTTGGTGTAACAGAATATGTTGACATGCTTTAATGTTCAAAAAACACATTATTTTTCAAATACTGTACATTATTGTAGGTCCTCTATGCCCCGCCTCTCTCAAATGCATCATTTTCTACAAAGTCCCTCCTTCCGACAAGCGCAGTCTGCTCTGATTGGCCAGCTGACCCAGTGCATTGTGATTGGCCGAACACCACAAGCACACATCGGAAATGTAACGTCCCTTACCATAATCGCAGCTTCAGCTTTCAAAGTAAATATCAAGACAGTTAATAATGTCGTTAGTTTTACCATCAGTTCAAGCCCGAAAGGGCAGCAGAGTCGCGTGACAGACACAGTGATGATGCAGTATACAAGCCGCGGTTAAGACAGCTGACGCCTTTGTGCATAGCCAGCCTTGAACTCTTCTAGGTTCAAAAAACTGTCGTCCATAAAATGCGTTGCACAAATTCGAACATCTGGGTTGTGCTGTTCTGTTGTAAATAAATCTTAACCAATGATTCCTAATTGCATCTACTTCCGGAAGGCCAAATAAAGTGCTTTTGCTTTCGCACTGAAACACAGCGTCTCCCTGACATGGCTGCATCAACACGACTGCTGTTCCTGAAACCACGCCTTCTTTCTTTGTGTGCACATTTAGGCGGCATTATGCTAATATTTCCACATAGTGACGTAGACATGTGGGGGCGTGTTAGAACGAGTCGTTTTAGGTAGGTGTGGCTGACTCTTAACTTTTATAAAGAATATCTCTTTGGATTTGAGACTTTTGTCTTTGCAACTTTACAGATCTTCTTTATGCACCAAGAGCTTGTAACACTCCAAAGAGAAAGGAAAACTTAAAATCGCATCATATGACCCCTTTAAGATGTTCTTATGAATGTTTTGATACTTGAAGGTTTTGGTGGAATGGAGAGAAAGAATCTCATAAGTTTCATTAAAAATATCTTCATTTGAGTTTTAAAGATGAATGATTTGGGTGAACTATCCCTTTAAAACCAATCTGAACAATTTGTTCTTGAATGAGACTGATCCATTTCTTGAGTTCATCTCACTGACTCAATGACCTGGTTGTACTGTAGCTCATTGAACTGCATGACCTTCAGTGAATAATGACTTAAAGTTTGTCTGGTCCTTACAAAAAGTTATCATGTGGCTTCAGAATCTTATCATGAGTTACGCCCATGTCACAGGAAGCTTTCTTCCTAAACACGTACAGTAAGTGCACATTTATGTGACAGCTCTAGATTTACAGTAAACCAAACATTTGTTTTTCGCTTCCATCTGGCATGCGATGGGTGAGATGGGGGTCAACAGCCCCCAATGGCATGTCATTTCCAGATGTCTTGTTTTTAAAGACGTTTTAAGAAGAGAGAGAGATGAAGAGAGAATCCTCTTAGAAACCAGCCTTCACAAATCAGACTGCAGTACTGGATTCTCTGACAGCCAGACAGTGCTAATGACGACCTGGTTTTCTATGCCTCCAGTTCTCTTTTTCAACACGCGCACGCGCGCAATCACCTTCTCCTTGTAATACCTATGTCATACCTTTGTCATTATACAAATTTATGTCCTCATTTGTCACAAAAACGCGTACACACACACACACACACATGTTGTGTTTCCATGTTTTATGGGGACATCCCATAGGCGTAATGGTTTTTATACTGTACAAACTGTATGTGCTATTGCCCTACACCAACCCTTTCCCTAAACCTACCCCTCACAGGAAACTTTGTGCATTTTTACTTTCTCAAAAAAACTAATTCTGTATGATTTATAAGCTTGTTTCCTCATGGGGACCTCAAAAATGACACACACACACACACACACTTGTTGATGCTCTGGCATCTTCCCTTTCCTCAACAGCAGGCTGTGCTGTGTGCTATCTAGGGCAAAATAAATGAGCAAAGTCTATTCTTATAGCGCCGTGGAGTCCTCTGCTCACTCCTTGCACTGCCCACTGCGCTCTTCTGCTACTAATTCACTTCATATGTAGTGTAATACTATCATTTTGTCACAGTGATGTTGCAGTAGGCATATTTGGTTAGACGATCAAAGGTACATCATAAAGCAGCAGTGTTTTTATGAGGTCTGCGTGACCTGGTTGGGCCTCTGTGTATGTCACTGAGGCGGCACAGGCAACTGAGCTGTTGTGACACAGATAAATGAATCTAGCAAACAGGTCCGAAGTGGAGAGCTGTGAAACTCTCCCATCTGCTGGTCACTTTGAGTACTGCACAATTAATTGATAGTGATGTTGGTTTAAATCATTTGCTATAACGTGTCACTGATTGGTATATGAAACAAAAAATGACACTTGTTATGGCACTGTAGTGACAGGGAAGTCAGTCACTCAAGAGTTTATTGCTCTTTTCAATGCTCTTTCAATGGGGACTGAGGTTTTAAGTTTAAAAAAGAACCATGGCAGTATCGTAAAACTCTATTTTACATCTATTTTAAGTCTTTTGAAGGAACATGATAGCTTTGTACCAGGAGGAAACCAAAATTTAGGTTGTTATTTGCTGAAAATCTTGACATTTGCCCTATAGTTCTCCCTGATCATGAGTGATTCATAAGAGTAAGAAGAGTATGGTAAAAAAGCATTTCCAACTTAAAAATGTGGGAAATCCGACCAACAGGTGTTTGAAAGTTTAATGGTTTGCATTCATTTATTTGTTTGTTTCTTTCTTTCTTGCTCTCTCTGCAGATTGTCTACAAGCCCTGGCTCTGCGCTCAGTATTTCCAGAGTCCTCAGTCAGGCTGCAGTCATAAGATTCCCTGTGAACAGTACTGTCTTGAGGTCCAGCAGAGGTGTCCGTTCATATTGCCTGACAATGATGACCTTATACATGGTGGAACTCCCAGTTTTATATGTGCAGGTTGGTATACAAATATTTGCGAACTCCATATAGCCAGAACTGTTTGTGCATTATGCACTGTAAATATATGTTAATCGTCATTTAAGTGCTGATAATTCCATATTTTGTGTCAAGCAGAATTCTAATGTTAGTAATAAAACAACGAACAGTCAAAATGTAACCATTAAAACAATCTAAATCTTGTATCTGAATCATTACAATAAAGTCTTTCAAATAAAAACAAAGTACAGTCTGCTCATAGGTAGCTTTTTATCAAATCTTATGTACAGCAGTAGGAGACCAGTCATAATTAATAGCATCAATACCTAAAAGTAACACATTAAGCACATCAAAGAGATCCAATGCAGCAAGATCAGCAGGAAACCAAGTTTGATTAAAAAAATAATTTCAAAATCATGTTATTGTTTCATAGAGCAGAGCGTGTTCATTTCTCATTATATTTTCAGCACTTCTTTAAAGTAAATACATTGGAAATAGTGAAATAAAACATGCTATTTGGATTATCATACAGTTTTTTAGTGACATCTGTTGGACAATTACTGAAACTGTCAGACCTCTGCTCAAAACAAAACCATTTAAACAATAATTTAGTAGTCATTTAATGTAACGTGAGAAACCAAGCAACACATCCACTGCTTTCTTCCCGTTGAAATTAACTACAATAAATACATTACATTTCCATGTATGAAATTGTGCTATGAAGTAAAAACATACATGCAAGCAATTAAAAAATAGAACAATTTTATATGGTAACATATATATATATCTTGCCAAATCAAATAAATGTGTTTATTTATGTGTAATACATTTTTGGACATATATGTCATGTAGATTTATAACCATCCCAAAACCCATGGATACATGTTGATATTTTTGACATATAGGGTTGCTACATATAAACAATCATCATATATATTATTAACATACAGTATGTACATATTACATTTTTACTATGATATTTGATGTTATAAATTTATATCTTCAACTAGAGAAGGCATATTAGATATGGCCTTATAAGCAACATACTCTGCAATATCACTAAATTCTTACGCAATATTGATATAGGGCAAAATTCCATATATCACATTTCTGTATGCCGCATGACAATCTGGTGAGCACGTCACATACATCACCCTAATCTCTTATACTCATCAATAATCAATAATAATATCATTGTAATCAATGAATAGTTAAAAGATAATAATAATATTATTAATCAACATTATTTAGCAGATTGTTTTTAAATGAGGAAAAGCTATTTATCATATAGGTGCCAACAATATTAGCAGTGACAGTATTTTTGAAGTTAATTTTTGAGGTTGAACAAAAGACAAAAGCATACAAATAGTTGATGTACTACACTTGCGCTAAACTAGCTTTTTCTCAAGAGTGAGCATCTTGGCCTTGAAATTTGTTATTTGGAACTTCTTTCATCTTCCCTATTACTTATGAACTGACCATTTATTTCTGCTTATATTCAGCTTTAATTTGCATACGACGTCACAGGATTGTCAGTGCCATGGAAAGCAATTAATGAGCAGACAGAAGCATCTTTGTATTTAACACTGCAGCCTTATACTTTTCTTTAATTCATGATGAAACAGCCAAATGCTTTTCGAAGCACGTACAAACACTTTACATGGTGAAGTCTTCAAACAGCTTTAAAAGCCTGCTTTAAATTTTTTAGCTTATGATGAAGCAGTTAGTGTCTTTTAAAACCTTTCACAAACCTTTTAAAACATGATGAAAGAACAAAATGCCTTTAACAAGCAGTTTAATGGACAGACCTTTTAATCCAAATACTTTATAATGCAAGTGGATGGAATAGTTAATCATAAGATTTTATGAATATTCAGTTTATACAAATATCTTAAGTATTTAAAGTAATAATTTTAGGGCAACGCCAGCTAACAAAAATATTTTAAATATTTTAAAACATATTTTTCCTTGTTTTTGAGAACATTAGCAAAAACAATAAGGGAATGTTGAATTAGGGAACATTACTTTTGAATGTTCTCTGAACTTCTTGAAACTAGTTATTAAAATAGACTAAGATCCAAATAAAAATGTTTCAGAAACAAATGTCCATAAATGATGTATAACTAACATTTTTGTCCCAACATTTTGGGCATGTTATTAAAGACCAGATAACTTTGAACGAAGGTTCATAACTTTGAGAAAATCTTACCAGAACTCTTTTTTTTTCATAAACACAGTCAGACAGTCATACTGGTGTGTCATACAATGCACAAGAATTTTCCAAATAAAACACTGATGTGTGTTTTTGCATACACCCCAGGGTTCAAACCAGACATCAACCAGGAGCCAGAGTGCTGTGATGTGCGGTGGGACCAGAAGTCCAACAACCGCTCCCGCAGCACTTTAAAAAGAACTCACCCTTCCTGCCAGCACACATCCGTGACCTCCTCGGAGGCTCCACGGCTTGGGCAGGGCCGGCTGAAACTTTGCTTGCTGGTTTTAGTTCTTCTCCACACTGTGGCTACCATGACGGCCAATCAGAACTCGACCTGCCTGACCGCCATCTTTCCACTGGACGACAACGCCCCCAGAGAAGAGTGATTGGACGATGCTGGGCTGGACAACTCTAGCGTATCCGCTTGCTCCAACACATCTCGCTTTGGGCTTGTCAGTAAAGAAGCCCCGCACTCAGAGAGAAGTTGAGTGTACCGGCTCTTAAGTGAGGCTAACAGTCTCAACCAGAGAACACTTAACCACACTTGTCATCAGCACCTTGTGGGGTTTGGGGAAAACAGCGAACAAGACACGGGACAAAAGATAAGCATAATATGAAGAGTCAGAACATGCCCCCACAGAGACTTCTCACTCTCTTCTGGAACACACATTGTGACACACACACACACAAACACAAACACACACACACACACACACACACACACACACACACACACACACGCACGCAAGCACGCACACACAAAATGTAATTTCACTTTGCACTAGGAGATTATCTAACTTTTCTCTTTTATTTTCAGCTGTTATTTTCACTTCAAGATGGTTTTGACTTCTGTTCAGTGGTTTCAGAGCAACCTGGAAAGTGACTTGAGTGTCCATGGTCCTGTCAAATTCTCTCTTTATATGTTGCGTGCCAGTATTTTGTGTATTTTGAGAGTGAGTGTCACACCACAAAGTCATCAGCACCATTCAGACAGGATACAGGCTACAGATTCACGTCTCTCTTTAAAACGCATACATTTTCATCCTGAATAAAATGTTTTTAAATTAGGTGTACTCAAAGCCTCAAAATCAAAGCAGCAATTGGCATCAGTTAGTGAATTTAGTTTTTCTTCTCCACCTTCTAAGAAACAGATACAACCACCTCGCATTATATTAGAAAATGATGATTATTCCCCTAAGTGTATGAACTGTATGAGTTTGTTAACTACCATGAGATTCTGTTTATTCCAAGATCTTCATCTCCATATCATGTACATGACTTACTACTGATGTACACTCTCAGAAAAAAAGAAAACACAACAACATAAGTACATAATCACATAAGCTGTCACTGTACCCTTTCAAAAGGTACTAATATGTATCTTTAAGATACTGATATGAACCTATTAGGGGTAAATAAGGTACAAAGGTGTACCTTTTGAAGGGGTACAGTCCTATTGACAGCTTTTGTACCTTTTTTTCTTTTCTGAGAGTGTATAGACTCTAGAGTGTAAAGACTCCATTGTGATGGTACACATTTAAATACAAATATAGTCTACAACAGGTCAAAATAATCAAATGAACAGGGCTTTGGCGCACAACTGTAAAGGAGGAGGATGATAAGTATTTTCATACATGACACTACTTTATTATGCACTTTATTCATTTAATTATGTGCTAAACCCTTCAGCCTTTCTGCATTAATTGCATCTTAGATGTTCTGTGAAAGCATATTTTTTCAGTATGTGGTCCTTATGTAATTCTTAGCATCAACAATGTTTATATCTTTACTCATTGCATGATAATTTGAATGTGTTTATTTAACAGGCTTGCATGTGAAGCTGGTTTAACTAAGGTTAACTACCACAGTTCATGCGCGAATGGAATTGAAATAGCTGAACAGAATGTGCTGTTCCATCATAATCATACACAATTACACTGTAATTTTACCATCATTTCCCTGTCAAAAATAACTATGTATTGTGTAAAGGGCTTAGCAAATAGTAGTGTGTGGAGAAGGAGTTAAGGGCTTACTCTACATTTCTCCTTCTGTGTGGTTGTTGTCTTCAGTGTTTGAGCGTAATGGCTAATAGGGATTATGTGCAGTTTTGCCTTTGTCAGGACCTTATTTTCGGACTATCCTTGTATACACCTGTGCATTCAACACTTTCCTTTGGTCATTATTTTCTTGTGTATTTATAGAGTAAATTCACTACCGCTAAATTAATTCTTGTAAAGTTAAACTAAAAAAATTACTAAAGAGCAGAGATGCACAGAGAGACTGGTGACATTGGCCCAGGTGTACAATTCTTAGGGCAAACTACCAGTAAATGCCCATTTTGGAATACTATTTATAGATTATTATCTATATATTTTTCATAGACTGTAATAAAAATAATTACACTAGTTCATTTAAAATGTTTTCTTTTTTTAGTGTATAGGCTAATTTGAGAAATATCAATACACAATAATAGAGTACACTTCACAAAACAGGAAACTAAAATTTTCAGAATCTCTAAAGTCACACAGAGATGTCTTGTTAATTAAAACATGTAACGCAACACAAACACTATTTTATGCACAGGTCCCCTGGTTCTCTGTTTTTGAGCCATTGTCCAAAAACATACATTCTTTACATCTCTGCTTTAGAGTAAATTTAACTGTGCAAGTGATTAAATGTTCTTGGTTTTACTCTGAAACTTCTCTGTCAGTGTTTCTAAGTTGTTTCTGCAAACATGTGTCTGTTTATTCCACATAATTTTGTTCAGTAGTGTTTTCACTGTCTTAATTTCTTAATTTTGCACCATCAAATGATGTACAATGTTAACTTAAAGGATGTCAATTTTCCCAGATGACTTTGTTAAATTGTAATGATCATTCAGTGGAAACATTATGCCTTCACCCAGTGTAATATATAACATAATGACATAATATCTGTCACACTAAGTGAAGGCAACACCATCTCTTAAATGATCATTATTTTTACACTGCTATGCAAAGGCAACACACAGCAATAGATCTATGACTGCAGCTGGGCCTCAGACTATGACAGAAGAAATGGGTTTGGCTGTGCTAAGATTAATAGAAAACAGAGTTTGAATTGATATAAAATCAATTACAATTAAATAATAAACAAAATAACAATTTTCTCAGTTTCAGTGTTGCTATATATATATATATATATATATATTAAACATATAAAGGACAGCATGCCAAAGTTTTGCATAACATTTAGTTTTCTTTCTTTTTATTTTTTAATTTTCATTTACTTATTTTATCACACTATTCAGCTGAGTGATGAAAACATGAGCACCATTGATTTTAAAGGCTCATCTTGTCACGATCTCTGGCTGGAGTGCCCGCGAGCACTGCAAGAGGTCACCCCATCCTGTATCTTTTACCATTCGCCCCAGACTCCCTTTCCCATAATCCTTTGCCCGGACTCATCATCAATTGCAATCACCTGTCTCTCATCACCTCATCAGTCTCGCACCATAAGAATAGAACACACACCCTGCGTTTCATTTGGAAGGGCTCATCCCTATGCCCTAAACCCTTTAAAGGGTTTACCCTCTGGAGTGACAGCTTCAAAGGGTTGAAAGGTGTAGGAAACCAAACAACTGTTTCTTGAAGTGCCCTTCTGTGTCATCATCACGTGTCCACACGGAGGCGCCATCATCATGCAAAGAATTTGCACAAGGGATCATGGGAGCCCGAAGTGTCCATCAATTGTACCCTTCAAAATCCTTCATTCCGAAGGGCCCTTTGAAGTGGCCAGTTTTGAGCACTTTGGTTTGGAATGACCCTTCAATATGGCGGCCATGATTGTTTTCACTCCGAAGTGCCCTTCGGAGGGCGAAATATCCCATTTGGAACGCACTGACAGGAGCTCACATCGCTGGTGATTGAATGTTTTCCAAGTTTCCTAGTTTTACCATGCCTTAGTGTTTTTGACCCTGGACTGTTTCCTTGATTCTGATTGTTTGCTGTCTGCCCTCACCATTGCCCGTTGTCTGGATCAGTGGTTCCCAACCCTGGTCCTGGAGGCACCCCAACACTGCACGTTTTGCCTGTCTCCTTAATCAAACACACCTGATTAAGGTCATCAGCTCATTAGTAGAGACTTCAAGACCTGAAATTGGTGTGTCAGAGAAAGGAGACATGCAAAATGTGCAGTGTTGGGGTGCCTCCAGGACCAGGGTTGGGAACCACTGGTCTGGATTACTCTTTTGCCTCTGCCTTGGATATAACCGTTTGCTGTTACTGGACCCTGCCTGTATGACTACGCCTTATTGAATAAAGCCTTCATTGGACTCTGTTCTATACCAACTTGGAAAACATTCAATCACCAGCGATGTAAGCATGTGTGTGTGTGTGCTATTCTTATGGTGTGAGACTGATGAGGTGAAGAGAGACAGGTGATTGCAATTGATAAATTCAGGCAAAGGATTATGGGAAACTGAGTCCAGGGCGAATGGTAAAAGATACAGGATGGGGTGCCCGCTAGCAGAGCTCGTGGTCACTACAGCTGGAGATCATGACCCATCTAGACTTTCCCAGTATAATATTAACAACATAACACAATATCTATTACACTAGGTGAAGGCAACACCAACTCTTAAATGAAAATTATTATTTACACTGTCATGCAAAGGCAACATACAGCAACAAAGTTATGACTGAAACTGGGTCTACTATGATAGAAGATATGGGTTTGGCTGTTAAAAAAAAATCATAGAAAACAGAGTTTGAATTTATATCAAATCAGTTACAATAAAATTCTAACAAATGGAGCCATTTTCATGCTCCGTGTTGCTGTAGTTACCGTTTTGCCCTTGCATAGGATTATACAATGAGATCATATTTAATTGAAGATATCAGACTATGAATGATCACAGATTATCAAGAGACTATGAAAATGTATGAATGTCCAGCTTGGAAGAGCTGCATGGAGCATATTGTAGTCCATCTGATGCTGTAGGGCATTTGTTAATTACCAACCTGTTTCATGCTGACTTCAGGATCAGAGATTTCCTTTTTTAGTTATCCCAAATGTATTCTCTGTCACTGTACTGTATTTCCATTGTAAAGTCAAAGACTGCTCCTATATAATCTAACCCTGAATCTGGCCTCGCTGTATAAGATCCCGTTTACCGTCTAGAATCCGTATTTCCCAGATATCTCTCTTGTTCCCCTGGATTTAATCGCATAGTGTCATAAATCACGTAACCGATCCTGATCCCATTTTGTCGAAATCTGGTTATTCTGATATAAATTGTAAGATTTATTGGAATGTAGCCTGTCCTCTTTGAGGTTTTTCCTGTGCTTTTGTTGTTGATTATGTTGTTCAGACACTTTTGTTTGTCATATTTATCAAGATTTCAATCACTGTTGACCACTTGTCAAAAAGTATGATTTACACAATGAATGCTATTCTCCTCTGGAAAGGTTGCAACTAGAACCTGCGGTTTACAAGCGTAGAAATGGACAGACATACAGTATATAGAAATAACAGTTATTATTACAGTGTCATATTGTCATACATTAGATGCTTTAGTTCAACAATTTTCTTTGATTTTTTTTTTTTTTTTACACAAAGACTTTGATTAATATTTATAAATCAGTCTCACTGGTCATGGCCTTTTTGAAGGTAAGATGAAAATACAGCTACATTTATTAAAGTTCTGATCTAAGGGAAAATAAATAGAGAG